ACCCCTGCTATACCCCCCAAATAACCCCCCCGTACCTCCCCTCCCCCATCCAAAAAAGTTTCTCAGCGGATTTGGGCTGCACCCAACAAGTGCAGTCGAGCCCCATAGTCAGACTTTTTCAAGAATCAGTGCAAGGCTGTTTACCGACTGGTCGGCAGACCGCCGACTGGTCGGCACCACGGGCGGGCTGCAAAACAGTCAGCCGTTGGCGTAGGCGGTCAGGGATGCAACCCTGGTTGAAAGGGATCTCTTTATCAAAATACTTTGTTGTATTGCTCATCCTATATGGTGCAGATTTCGCTTGCTTTCTGCTTTCGACTTTTGATTTGGCTCAGTTATGTCTCGTCTTCTGTGAGATGTCGCAATCTGGATTGTTGTTGTTGTAAGGACCTGTTGTATTGCTCATCCTATATGGTGCGGATTTCGCTTGCTTTCTGCTTTTGACTTTTGATTTGGCTCAGTTGTGTCTTGTCTTCTGTGAGATGTCGCAATCTGGATTATTGCTGTTGTAAGGACCTGCCAAACACAGACTGAGATACACAGCTGATTTCTGAGTTTTACCAATGGAATGTATGCCTTGCTGAGTTTCCCGCTTGTTGCTGAGTTTTCTAAGTCGGTGTTGTGCGTGCTTACTGGCCTTTGTGCCTGTCTGAGTGCTTGTCAGTTTGAGTGTGTGTATGACCCGCAAGGGTACTCGTCCGTGCGGAAGGCCCGAAGGGCCGGTTTCTTCTTCTTCTTCTTTCCCTCTCTCTCCTCTCAAGTTCATTCATTTCTTTGCAATGGGACGGCATTGTGCTTTCTCATGAATTTTGTACTTCGAAATTGGCCAGGGTCATAACATTGTTCTCATTGCTTGTTTCCTTGCAATAAAGCCAACCCTGGAGATGTAATTCAATTCTTCGATTTGAGTTGGCCACATACCTCCTGCGATTACCAACAACGCGACAGACAGTTACCAAAATCCAACTGCATTCTCCCTTGTGGTTGTGATTGTTTCCATTTCACTGTGCAGTGTGCAGTCTACACAATGATATCCAGCCACCCAGACAATATCAGACTCCGATATCCATGGACCGAGGGTAGGTCGGATTATCCACCATTAGGCCTTGTTTGAGACGTTCTAGTTTATCAGTTTGTGCATTCTGATAGCAGTCGATGTTTCCTCGAGAGGTGGTAGAGTTGGAAGAGAGAGACTTGTTGAATGAAGAACTTCTTCAGCCAACCTGTGCCTACTACAAAAACAAACTGATGACAATCATCAAGGCCGCATGGATCAATCAAATGGCATATCCTCAGAGCAGCTAACCCCATATTTCATTCCAATCTGAGTATGAAAGGTCTGAAGAATCTTACGTCTTTGTCAAATTGTACTGCTTGCTTGCATTTTCAAGCTCTGATGGTAACCTCTCCACATCAGCTCTTTGTTCCAAGATCACCACCAGCTTCTCCAGAAGGCCGCTCCTCAATGCTGCGAAACAATGCATGAAACCACAACATTATCTATCGGAGCAGCATATCGCAGAGGAGATAGAAAGTCCACATAAATCAAGCAGACATAAACTCGATATGCATACTCTTTCATAGGCAAGCATCTGATGTCGTGAAAAAACTCCTTGCCAGATGTGTGAGGCTTCAGGCCTCCACGGCGCCCGAAAGGGGCCGCCTGTAAAAATATTACCCGGCCCTGAGAGAAGGCTGGGCCTGTAAACTGCCACCAGGACACTGAGGAGGTCGGCCATGAGGCATTGGACGCCACCTCTCCTACTAACCGGTAGGCCCAGTCTCCCTGTTAGCTGCAGAGGCTGAGGCCCAGGTACCCAGTCTGAAAGGTTCTCAGACTGGGAAGAGCATAGTCCCAGCCAGGCAGCAGCGGCCCCCTGAAAGTAACAAAAAAAGAGGAGGCCGCAACATTCTACGCATTCTAGGCACTGGCTGCCAGCGCTGGCTCTGCTGAAAGCGCACGTGGCCAGGCTCTGGGCATTGACGGAGGAGAAGGGGAGGACCTACTACCCGCTTGGCAGCTGCCTTAAAACAATGAGGGGCACTTGATAAGACCACTCAGATTGCCAAATAATGGAGCACAAATTTGTAACATATGTGTTTGCTGTTTTGGGTGGTTTCAGAAAGAAATGGCCATGGCAAAATAGGCTCACGCACTACACTTAATATGTGGCAGTGCTTCACGCCTTGTAGAGTCCTGCTAGCTGTACACTAGAAACGAAGAGCGTGACATATGGTTAAGGCCTAATTACTACATTGTGGTTGTATTGATGAGGGGAGCCGAGAGGCTTTCATTATCAAGAGACTTCGATGTCATTTTCTACTCGTTTGATGTGCTCTCAGCTTTGTAATTCATGCTGGTTCTGCTTTGAGTCTTTTGCTGCACGGAAAACCCGTGCTCTACTTGATTGGTTCTTTGAACTATCGATTTCGTTGCACAGAACGCATCACAAATGCCAATTCATGAAGGGCTGCCGGCATGACTGATTGGAGGCTTTTTTGGAGCTTATTTATATGAGACTATCACATGAGAAAGACAAAGAAGATAAAGGCTTGTCTCTCTACTTGCAACTTTACTCCATCAGCTGCAATTCTTGACCCGTCAAAATAATTGCAAAATTGAAAATTGCAAATTGCAAAATTCAAAATTGTGATATAGCAAAGTGAGTTGCTAATATATCACTGATAGTAGCAGCATATAGCAGTTGTGGTTTAGTGACCGTCCTTTCAACTGGGCCATAAGAGCTGCACTGCCGATGCTCTGCGGCTCCCAACTGGTTGGCTCCTGACCAGCTGATCGACCGGTCTGGAGAACCCGCGCCGAGGGCTTTGTAAGTTTGTACGCTCCCCCCAACAGCCCAAATTCTTTTTTCTTCTCATCTCCTCCTCCTCCTCCTCCACTGCAGTATTTTATTTTAGATAAGTTCTTTTTTTCTTCGTCTTCTTCTTCTCTTCATACTCCTCAGCTACCGTTTTTTCCAAGATAACCTCTGCATTTGCAAAGCTCTTTGAGATCTGTTTCATTAATCTTGTGTGTCTCGAAATTCCGCTTCTATAGAGCCCTTGCCCAAGTTGCTTTTGCTGAAGTGTTTGCCCCATCGTCCATGGTATCCCACAAATTTTACATTTTAACTGTCAACAGCGAAATCTTGAAAGAATTAACATCTGAACGGTGAATAGAGACACCTTTAACACCTATCCAGGACTCCAGTCAGGTACCGATACCTCCCACACTGGGGTAGAAACAGGTGTGCATGCACAGTTCCCCTTAGGCAAGGCCTAAATCAAGACATATGCTGGCAGAATGACCTGAAGGCGTATAACATCCACTCAAGTGCAAACATGCCTTCCCAGGTGTGGGGCACGGAGCCCCTCGAGTGAGTCCTTCATGCTTCACACAGAGGGGCAGAAACAGGTGTGCAATCAAGGTAAGGTGGTGTATGCACACTCACCTGGCATAACAGGGGAGATGGATCAGTCCGAGTTTCAAACGAAACAAAAGACACGTCAGAAACCACACCACTTGTCTGATTAACGATGACAACAACCAACAGTCAGGGGCTTCTTCTCTTCATCGCCCTCAACTACAGTTTTTTACAAAGATAAGCTCTGCATTTGTAAAGCTCTTTCAGATCTGTTCCATTAATCTTGTGTGCCTCGAAATTCCACTCCTATAGAGTCCTCACCTGCCCATTTCAGTCAAGTATTGCCCGCTGCCGGTGCGAATACCCTTACAAGATTATCCGCCATGGTTTTTGCAAGTGACAGGAGTGGGGTTTGACTCTAAAATTTGGGTACACCGCGTGAGCCGCAGCCAGTTTTTCTCTTTGTGACCGACTGCGCGTTAGAGGAGAAATAGGGAGTGCATGGGTGCGCAGTTTTGAGGCCCGCGTAATGTTTCTTGTTGATGTTATAGAGCCGGTGCATCTGCTGGCCAACTTTTTGCTTTCGATTAAATTAGGACTAAGTGATCTTTTTCTTTGGTCAGTACATTTGACCGTGACACGCGTGCGCTCGCGGGGAGGCGGCGTCATTATGGCCGGTGTGAGGTCCATTTACCGGTGTCGCGCATTAAGGAGTTTTGCATAAAGCAAGGTTGAAGAGAGAGGTCATCATGTTGGTCTAGGCGGCGCAGGCAACCATCGACGGACATGGCGTATGCGGGGCCGAGTTCGGCAACAGCGGCCACATTGCTTAATTTTTTATTTTTTTTTTGCAGAACGTCGCTGTTCCAGGCAGAAGCGTTAGCGGGCTGCTTTTGGAAGTTCGGGGCGGTGCGTATGTCGGCACCGCTGAGGCCCCTGCCCATTTTGACTTCCTGCCCTTGCTCCGCGGTGATTGACGGAAAGGGCAGGTGTCTGGTCACTATTCCTACCATTTGTGGCGATGTCTGGTCGGTATTGTGACCATCTGTACGCCAGAGGGATGAAACCTCAGCGCACGCGCATGCTCGGCAAGTGATACGCTTTGCATGCTTTGTCTCATGGCCATGCCTCAGCCGACGCCCCGCTTATATCTTGGTAGCACGGGTGTCGTTTGACTGACTAAAGTTTGAACTCGGTTATGGGATTGTTTCTGCAGACACGGCGAGGGATCCGGCAGCCTAGCTGCGTTGGTACACAGACGAACTGTTGAAGTACAGAACCAAGTTCGAATCCGGGTGGGACCAGATAAATGAAATTCCTGAGTTACCAGGGGCTTGCCAGGATCTGGGTCCTCGGCAGGCCTAAGGGGCCGCTGCTGCAGATGTGCCCGCCCTAAGTGAAGGCGGGCCTAACAAATCACGAGAGGCCCTCGACTGTCAATTTTGTATTTGGGGTCCAGGCAGTTGTGACGCGCCAGTTGGTTGAGGAAAACACAGGCTGAGCAGCAAAGACATTCCACGGCCTTCCAGGCCTTTCCGAAAATGCAGGCCCTGGGCAAGAATTGCAGCCTCGTACACGTACAGTTGGGAGGCCCAACCGAATGAGGCCCAGCAGCTGCATCGGAGGCACAGCCTCCTGGGGCCTACCGGAAGCTTCTGGGCAGAGGCCCAGGCCAGCCAGGCCGCCGTGGGAGGCAGGCTCTTTCCATATAGGAAAGAGCTTGCTGCCTGGGCTGGCATTCAGGCACTTGCTGGCTGGTGGCAGCGCTGCTGGAGCTTTAGCTCACGTTCTGGCTGCTAGCGCTGGAGCAAGGTGCTGCGCACGTGCGGTAGTGTGTTGAAGCAGGGCACTGCTGAGGGCAGCGCCATAGCCCAGCCTCCACAGCTGGCTAAGGGCTTGGACTTACAGTGAGGTGCAGAGGTGGTCTTCGGGTGTATAGAGGGCAGACGTGGGTGTAAGTCAGGGGAGAGAGAGAAGGATGATGATGATGATGATGTGAGGGCACATACCTGGTATTGGCGATGGTCTGCACTGGGCGACATCTTCAAGTACTTCGTGGGCTGCTGACATCAACAGTTGCATTGTCAATTAGTAGGCAGTTTGTAGCTGTGTAGGAAGTAGGCTGGGCGCCGAGCGCCAAGTAGGGAGAAGGTCCTGGACTTGGGGAGAAGGTCCTGGACTCTTGTGTTGGTGGTGGCAAGAGCAAGCTCTCATTGACATGGGTTTTCACTGATACGATTCTCCATTGGTGTCATATTGGTGCAATGCTGCTTTTTGGACATAGTGATACTTTCTTGCTTTCAATGTGATTGTGCATTCTGGTTGTTGTCATCTCGGTTCTGCTCATTTTCCTTCCACCTGAGTTACCAGGGGCTGGCCAGTTCCGCGGTGCCATCACGCGCCGTTGGCCATGGCGTGGTCCTTCGGGACACCCGTTAAAATTGAAATAATACAGAGAGGACTGGCATGCCTCGTGCGGTCCTAGGAGGAACCTGTGTGCTGGGGTTGGCCAGGTGCATGTAAAAGGGGACCCCCCTTGGCATGGGCTGTTGAGGCCGGCATTATGGTCAGGACCAAAACCCCTTCCCACGGGTGGCCACAGGGGATTCTGCGTGAACGGGGTACTGGCAAAATTCCCTTATCCTGCCCATCCGAAACTCGGACCAAGGGTTCGACGTGCTTGCAAGTCGGTGGGTGCTCATCCCACAAGGCAGAAGAAACCTGAGTGGTGGGTGCACCTTCCACCAACCGAGATCTGCTGTAAGAGTTGAACGTGTGCATGCCTGTTGGGGCCGGTGCCGATGCTAGTTCTGGGACCAGCGCTGAGACCCACGAGCCTAGCACAGCTGGTACGACATGGACTGCTGGGACGGAACAGCAGTGGGGAGTGATTGAAACCCCCACCGGTGACCATCACGACAGTCAAGGACCTTGAACATGTGCATCCTTTGGTCAGCTGTAGGGCTCCTGCGTATTCGGGATACCGGTGAAATTCCTCTACCTTGCCAACTTGAAACACGGACCGAGGAGTCAGTGAGCACGCGAGCCGGTGGGTGCTCAGCTCACGAGGCAGAAGAAACCAGTGGCTGGAGCACCTTCCACC